GTGTGTGTGTGTGTGTGTGTGTGTGTGTGTGTGTGTGTGTGTATAGTGTGTGCATTGTGCATAATGAGCACAGTCTGTCTTGGTGAGAATATTTTTTTTGTGGTTTTCTTTGTAACAATTTCCTGTTGAAAAATGCGTATCATACGCATTTCTGCATTATAATCCATCCTATCCAGGCGTAACTTGAGTTACGCCTGGATAAATACCTAGCTGTAACTAGAGGGCATTTTGAAACGCCTATAAGGTATGCATTAACTAAAATCTCGAGTAGGCGTAACATAGAGAGGCTTGAAATGCGTAGCATTTTTGGCTAGAAATGCATATAAAACGCATTTTGAAATGCCCAAATTATTTGCTGGGATTAGCTTTATTTGTTCAGGAGCTATTGACATTTTTCAAAGCAAGCCTGGGTGTTACAACAGTCTCCATTTTTTGAAGCATTGTCAAGATGATAGAGCAGATTTCTTTTTTATTTGAACCTTTTTGGTGAGTTAAATTGTTTGCATGTTGGGGTTCAACTGTACTCAAATATATCTGTTCATTTCCAAATTGTCTCTCAGATAGTTTGAGATTCATGGTCGAAAAATTAGACATTTAATTATATGGTGATGAGAGTGGCAAAACCTTTGTACTATATGCAGGAAAACTCCAAAATACTGTTTACTTCAGATATTAGCCACAAAAAATCTATCAAATTTAACTTGCCTTGTAATGGGACTCTTTGCCTATATACCTTATTGATAAAAAAAGATAACCATTGGATTATCTGTGTTCTACAAATACAGAATGTCAAAGTTTATTTTAATTTTTCAAATTTCTTCAAGAAAAGGGGGAAATATCAAAAAACAATCCTGACCTTTCCAAAATTCCAAATTCTTGAAAAAAGGAAGACAAACCCATTTTTCAAACAAGATCAAAACTAATAATGCAAGAATACTTAAACATAAGAACCCCAAAGCAGACTGGAATGCAAAATTAAAATAAGAAGAAAGTAATGTTTAAAAAAAAGCCCATGAAACAATAGAAGCAATCAAAATTAAGTTCCCAAGAGCGGCAAGGTTATACCAAATGAAACAAAAAAGGAACTCCATGCCTTTTCAGATGCAAGCAGCTCTGCTATAGCTTCCACAATCTATCATGTGTCTCACAACAAAGAAACTAGTAAAGCAACATCATTATGGGGAACATTCAGATTAACCCCATCACATGCAAATGGATAAAAAGAAAAAAGAAAAGGGAGAGCAAGTAAAGAAATTGAAAAAATGAAGCAAATGCAAGGAAGTGAAAGGAAAAACAAAATGCTCAGTATCAATTGTGTTGAACTAAGAGCAGCATGCTTAGCAATAGAAATGATGAAGGAAATAAAAGAAGCACAAATATTCCAACAGTATTGCATGATACGTTATTGGGCAGACTCAAAAGTTACCATAAATTGGATTTATGAAAATAGTCATTTTTTGAGTCCACTTTTGGTGTAAATAACATACTCAGCAAACCAAAAAGTTATCAGTGGCATCATGTCCCTGAATTAGAAAATTCACCAGATATAGCCTAACAATGATGCACAATAGAACAGTTACAAGAAAACAAACTTTGGAAATTGGGCCCACACTGCTGGCTAAAAAACAGGGAAAATTGGACCGCAATAAAAATTCAAGCATACCTTAATACAGAAGAAGAAAATGAGAAAAACAAATTAAAGAAACGCAAGAATTAAAGACAGTACTTAAAATCTTCAAAGGACTCTTTCAATGGGAAGATACTGTAAAACACATATCAGCATGGAAAATGTTCATACTATTCATGCCTATATTAATGGCAGCAGGATTCTTCAAAAATAGAAATAACAAGAAAGGCAAAAAATCGATTTCAAGCCCCTAAATTGATAAGTAAAGGTAGATAAGTTTCCCCAAAAACTTCCTGAAGCACCTTTTCCTGAGCTATTGTTTCCCAAACTGGTGAACTGGTGATTGCTGCTGGGGCAATGACTTCTTTGAAATTTGTCTAGAGGTGTGTTGCTAGGGTTGATGGGGCATAGATTTGGAAGCAACTGCGTGGTATAAAATCTGGGGCCTGGTTGCGGTCAGGGCATCACTTAGACTTCACCAATTGCACAGTGCAGTCCTCCGAAAAAACTTGAAGGCCCCTATTCGAGTTTCGGATTTAAATTCGAAAGCGATTGAATAACAGAATCACCTCAGCACCATGAAATTCGTGAGTTAAAAAAAAAAAACATTGGCTACTTTTTAAATAACGCTCTGATGATATAGAAACAATAACAACAAGTTCAATGATCCTCAGAAGCTCTTTTTGTTCAATAAAGTGTATATATACAGGTACAGTATACAATCCTCTGAAAAGTAGACCAGAAGAAAAGGAAAATTAAAGAAGTGAAAAGCTTGATGGTAGTTAAAAGGTTAAAAAATGTCGCTGAAATGACTTTTAATACTGCAATTTGCTGGCCATCCATTTATGTTTATGGATAAGCGGCTGAAAATAAATCTGCTCAGTATACCATGGAATTTGTGAGTGCAACAAAATTTTTCTTGTGATGGATACGGCCATGGAAACAGGATCGTTGATCCACAGCATTCAACAATTTCAAAATTTTCAATCATTGTTTCATTCGAGGAGCATTTAAATTGTTAAGTAAGATCGAAAAAAATGTATTACCATGAAATACGAGAATGTTCGCTTCAATTTCGCTTCTGCTTGAGCGATCTACAAAGTTAAAAACTGTAGAAGAACAAACTGATGTTCTATGCACAATTTTAAAACTTTTAATATCCTTCGAACTGCACACATTTTTTTTGGCTTACTTTAATCGCTTTTTTATTTTTCCACAGACGATTGCATTGTTTGCTGTGGCTGCCTTGTCCGTTGTTTTCGTCAACGCCGAAGAAGCGAAGGCCAATGCCGAATCCAGTGACATGGCGGCCAGCGAGTCCAAGCATTACGGCAGCCGGTATGGCGGCTACCGTGGCGGCCATGGCGGCTACAGCAAGAGCAGCTACGGACGCCGCCACGCTGAGGACGACACCGAACTCCATGCTGCCGATGCTGACATGGCTCTCTCCGAGTCCAGGTATTCTTCTCGTTCAAAAAATTATAACAAGAAATTCTTCTTGTAGAATGAGTCGCAGCATTTTAAATTTCTGATGATTGATGTCTTGAATATAATTAGCAATTTTAAAATATTGAAATTATTCAATCATGCAACGTATAATTGACGCGGAACATGCACTTGCATGTTTTGATTTCCGAAAAGAGGTTAACATAAGATTAACTTCAATTATATTACACATCTGAAGGATCAGTTGAGGCTGCAAATCTTGATCTATCTTAGCTTCTGTTACAAAATTATTCCGTCAAACATTTGCGAAAGAAAATGCGCAGACGAACTGAGATTTCTACACGTATTAGAAATCATTTCAGATCGCAATTGAGTAGATTTTCA